ACACAATCCTTTTATTACCCATTATTCTTACAGATGCATCTGGAGATCAGCACACTGCATCCTATGCTAAAGGCTGATCTAAAGAACTCCACAAAACTGTTACAGTTAAAACCTCTGGTCTCCTCCCCCCTACAGTAAACACCCCCACAATGGAAATAGATAAGATAAGATAAAACTATATTAATCCCTCGGGTGGGTTCCTCTGGGAAATTCTGTTTCCAAAAGCACAGCACCGACAGAAGTTACAGAGTTACAGAATATCACACACACACACACACACACACACACACACACACACACACACACACATAAATAAAATATACGAAGGGGTTAAATAGAATAAATAGGAATAAAAATACAAGTAAATTGCACATTTCAAGTATTGAGGTCTATTGCACCATTGACAATAAAAAAAACAAAACGTATTGAACAAAAATACACTAGTACAGTGGCCAAGGGTGCTGACACCCTGACCCCCATCTCCTTTTAAGGTAGTGTCTCTTTTGCCCTTTGTCTGCCCCTCACCCTCAGTAACTCTTGCTTTCTCCCTGGGGGGTGGGTGTTGATTGTCCTCCTGTCCTGCACCTCAGTTCTTTGTTCCCATCCCAGGCCCATTTTTCTATTTTGTATTCCCATTAACCGCCATATTGTAATATTGTCTGTACTTCTGCTTAAGTACAGAATGTCTAGACTTTTGCCACTTTTGACTGGTTCTCACATACCTGTATTTAGCCACGTTCCTGTTAAAAATGATTGTAGAAGTTGTGATCAACTCAACTGTAACAACAGAAAAATATTTTTAAAGGAGTCAGGGTTTCTTTTTATTATTCCTGTCAAACATTTATCACATTTTTGTGGAGATGAATGTGTTTGAAAACACTTTAATTTGTTTACTGACTCATATACCAACTACTACACCTGCTGCACCCTCTCACCTCTGATGGTGTTTGAGGGAGAGAAACAACTGAAATGAACATAAACTTAAATGCAACATAAGCATCATGTCAGTGGCTGCCTTATCTGTATGTTTAGGATCATTATCCTCCTGCATTGACTGAAACTGAAGGACTGTTTGTTAACTTCAGTGAGAACTCTGACATTTCTAAACTGAAGTTTATTTATATAGAAGAAAGTGTTAACAAGCTTAAACGTTGATGTGAGCAGTAAATAAAAAGGTTAAACACACAGTGTCGCTCTCAAACTGCTCCTCTTCCTGGAGTGAAGCACAGCCTGATAACCCTCCCTCTTCTTCCTGCTCTTAAACACAGCACCTCCTCTCTGTCCACGTGTTTCCTCGTTCCCTCCCCCTCAGATCTGCAGTTTGAAGATGGGTGTAACCAACATGTGGTGACGTGTAAGAGCTGACAGGCTCCATTCACTGCAGAAACACGTGTTGTTGAGATCAGAGCTCAGACTAGTTTCAGTTATAAGGAAGAGAAACTCACACAGTCACTGACACTGAGAGGAGAAATGGCGCAGAAAGGAGTTCAGCTGGACCGAGAAACCTTCTCTTGTTCCATCTGTTTGGATCTACTGAAGGATCCGGTGACTATTCCCTGTGGACACAGCTACTGCATGAACTGTATTAAAGCCCACTTTGATGAAGAGGACAGGAAGGGAATCCACAGCTGCCCTCAGTG